GTAGTCGAGAGTCGATGCAGCAAGATTCAGGACACCGATGGCCCTTCCCTTCCGTAATGTGCAGGATAATCGGACCAACTTTCGTGGCGAAGTCCGTCTTCGCCTTATTCTTCAACCTTTCCCTCCTCGGCAGGGGAGGTTGATCGTAGGTCCTAATATCTATACCGAACAAATGGTATCCCGAGAACCTCACAGCTTTCACCGGCCCATTGCGCCAGCAATTCATCAACTAGAATGTTCGGTGAGCAATTATCAACGCGAAAATCAAAGCATAAGGGACTCACGTCGCCTTCAGAATGAACGGCAATGAACGGATCGGATATGACATCGTATTCACTCATAGGTCCGAATTGTCTCGCAAACGCGGCTTCAACTTCGTTGTCTGATGCGTTGGGATAACCTCTAAGGCGGAGTCGCATGTCGTCTTCCCTTAGGCGGTTCTCAAGGACCTCGATGTATCGATCGAATCTATCCGCTTCCTTGAACGCGAATACTGGAACGTCCACCATGCCCTCGACTTTCAATTTCTTGAGCGTGCTGGTGGAATGGTTCGATGTCGCATCAACTTTTCTTGGCTCTGGGAACGATGCGCGTTCCCGGAAAAACCTCAGAGCAAGCGGAGGTGGCATGACACTGACAGACCGGCGACGCTTGCTGTGTTATGTTTGAGACACGTTTATTATATAATTAGTGATGAAAGGATGGAGGCAAGTCGCGTCTTTTCCGCATCCAGACCCTGACTCCCACGACCTTATTAGGGATGACCCTGAGTTATATAATGATGTATGTAGTTAAATAATGATCTACTGCATTATATAAGGATCTCCTCAATTATATAATATACTTGTGGATCATTATATGGTGAAGTCGTCGTAAAAACATAATAAATCAATAAAAATGACTCAATAAACGTTTAAATCGTGAATGTTGTAATCCGACAGAGTGTTATTGATGGATAGTACAAAATAATACATAGGGTAACATATATTTTCACTAATAAAATGAACGAGGGAACATAACGGCAATATTCTACGCGTGTACCAGGGATCCAACTCCTTCTGGATGTTGTAGTCCGTCTACGTTGAGTCTGTATCCTCGCAAGAGGCTTGTTGCGTGCTTTTAGTAGCGGGAACTAATGCGTGAGCTGTGTCGTTCGTCTGTTGTGAAGTACCCGACGAAAGAGCATTGTGGTGCTCGGAGGGATTTGGTGCGCTGCTGTGAGCAGAGTTCGTAGAACTTGGAAGACACGTTGACGCGACTTGTGCGGCGGTATCGTACGTCTGTTGTGTAGTACCCAACGAAAGCGGGCTCTGGTGACCAGACGGATTTGATACGTCCTTGCAAGCAAAGTTCGTAGGACTTGGAAGGAGCGTGGACGCAGGTTGTGCTTGCATCTGCATTGGCGGTTGAAACATGTTCATTCCGCGAATTTGTTGACGATAAGGCATGATGTCTGAGTGACAAGCACGCACAGGCGCGTTCGCTTGAACAGGAATGAAAGGTCCAGTGAGGTTTTGACCGCTATTGACAAACTGTTGGCACGGCTGGATCGTATGATCGACTTTCAATTCTTCTTGGCGGCCTGGCACGTTCTGCAGGGGGAAACCAACGAACTAGAGTAGAGTGGTTAGCTGATGATTTAAACGGCTCTTAGCCCAAGACTCACTGGAGTATTCTGCTGAGCGCTGGGGTACGCAGCTAGGGAATGGTACATGGGCTGTGCCTGTTCGCCAGTGCTTTGGCTGCTAGGAACCGAAGATAGTGGTTTGTGCTTCTTTGCGTCTGACTGGGCCTTCGTTCCGCTTTGAGTACCTGCGCTGTAAGGATCCAGGTATTCACGTTTCGGTCGAGTCTTTTTAGGTGGTAATTGAGATCCAAACGCCTCTCGAAAATCAGTATGGGTCCTCTTATTAGGCGGTACCTCAATTGAGGGAGGCATTTCAGTACCTCCAGAGCCCGTAAGCAAGTTCTTAATGAGGTTGTCTGCCTCAAGCAATTTTTCTACATCGATTGAACGACCAGAAGCAAGTATAACAGCCCGAAGAGAGGCAGCACTATGAGCAATTCGCGAGAGAATGTGTGCTGGTGCTTCGCGGCAAATAGAACTTGATTCCTCGACGGGAAGCGAATCGTTTCTGGCTCTTGGAGCTGGAGACGGTACAGTGAGATCGGAAGGGGATATTTCTTCGGGGAAGAGACGCTGAACAGCATAAATATGCTTGCAAAAGCAAATAAGAGCATCGGGAAAAAGTCAGATATGATATAATGAATTACAGTCCATTTAAAGTAGTATAAACATTTTATATACATTATAATGTAACTGTAAGGGTTAGAACACAACTATAAGGATAAAATAAGGTATATTAAAGTATATAAAGACTCTAAAAGTGTTGTAAATGATTACAATTCATTGAATACAATATGATAACCTTAAATTATAAGCTAAAGCATTATACCTATATTATAATTTTGAAGACAGTCTTATATTTACATTGTAAAACAGTTTGTATTATCTATACAATGATTTCAACTACCTGTAACACTTATATTACTCTGTTTAAGAGAATATAAACATGCCAGATTGCTATCAACTGTATTATAGAGTAAATTAATACTTTTATTTTACATCTAAATATAATAATTGATTTGCTTTACAGTCTTTGCTTACTATCACGAACATTGATTACGTAATCACATGCTAGAAGATCGAGAGC